ATATATTTATATTATTAAAATACTTACAGATCTCAAATCTAATTTATTACAGAAAATTGTTGTGCAATTATTTTCTGGGAGAATAACAAATGTATAGTTTTTTATGAATTTTTTAGGTGATGCTACTATTTATAAATCTGAATTAATTGGATCTATCGATATGATCTAGAATGGTGGTTTAAGTATGATGGTTGGGGCATAAAAAATATTCTCCAACACACTGGTGTTTAAAAACAGATGTACTTGAGCAGACATACTTTGAGAGATATTCGCATCATAAGGGCCTTCTCTCGGAAGCTCACATCGGGCTTCTGGCAGTCGACAGTTTGCAGTTCGATGTTGAATACTGCGTTCTACCGAGTCAATAAACACACCAGTAAACTCTGTCGTAACGGATTCTGGAAGTCATGGATAATCGTTGGAGGAGTGCCGGTAAAATATTATTTTATGTGGGACAAAGTCCCATAAAATAGTCAAGAGTCATTGAATAATTTATAGGTCAACATCAATCCAGAAACAATAAAAAAAGCATTCACAGAATTATTTTATCTCATTTAAAAAATTATCTCTATTTTTCAATAATCCATTGCACAAATTTCAATCTTCAAATAAATAAAGAAATAGTAATTACATAAATGAAGTGATTATATTTAATTATGTTTATAAATATCTGGAGTAATTGTTTATTATTTTTCATGTGTAGTATTTTAGTGGAGTTAAAAGAATATGTAGATAAATAATTTCTAGTGGAATGACAGGATAAAAAAAAAAATATTAAAAATTGAATTGAAATTTCAGGAATTGCGGATGTGACACTTCAGGCTTATGCACATCGTCATGGTGCACTGGAGGGTGAAGAGTCCGGAGGGTGTTGGAGACCTAGAGCAAAGCCGATAGCCCTGACGATCGCCTGTTTAATAATTATCTCCCTCGCGGTTTACTGGTTAATTGTCGGGCCCATCTACGAGAGCCAGAGGGCCCCAGGCAGAGGTGGGAGAGGCGAGAGAAATTGCGACGGATAATCGTATTTATATTTAAATTCAAATAAATAAAAAAACATGGGAGAACACCCATGATCATTCTGGTCCCATCCCCGTCGTCAGTTTATAATTCATAATTTTTTTATGTACCAACATTAATTTGTATTAAAGATGTATTGATGATGTTAATAAAGGAATTATTTTAGATGTAAATTCAAATAGTCAGACATTTTTATGGGATTTATGTGAAATTGTTGGGGAAACAAATCTCGTATTACTGTGGAGACCCAGTGAAATGTTTGTTCGGGTTAAAGTACTGATTCATGGCCAGTTATAGTGCGTATGCTAAACAAAAGAACTCGTGAACAGTTTCGATTTGCATTTGAGAGTTCAATGCCACGATTTCAAGGGATTCCTCTCATTAGCCTCTGGAAATCTTAATTAACTCTAAAAAAATCCCCCAAACAGCGCACGTCTCTCAAAATTTATCAGCAGTCCAGATTTTTTTGCATTTTGCTGTTTCCTGAGTTAGGGAATTGAGATGAGGAAATCATGACAATATTATATGATCAAGAAATCAGGATGATAATCGATTAGTTTTCTGAATAGCTCAAGGGGAGACCGAAGCCAATACCTAGCCATCGGGTAGTAAATTTTGCATTTTAACAGTCGCTGGTGTCTGGCCACAAGAGTCATAAAATTTCAGTTGAAAAACGGAGTTATTTATGTAGAATTATAAAATATATTTATACCCACTAGAAATCGGTGGACCGAGAGAGAAATTCCTGATTAAAAAATTCAAAAATCTCAATTCAAAACGTGAACCCGCAGAAAAAATAATATATCCTAAGATATACCTGAATATATAGATATATCCGGATATATCTCCATGATATATATCCCCGATATATATCACATTAATGATATAACTTCAAAAATTAAATCAAAGGGATGAAATCGTCTGATTGCCAAGAGTAGAGAAAATCCCAAAAATTGCATCGATTAATTTTACCGGTCGAATCAATTCGATAAAATCGATTCTTATGATCAATATTAACGCCTGATTGAATGAG